CTCGAAAATGTAGAGCGCATTTTTTGTGTGTATACTTATGTGCGGAAATAGATTTCAAACCGAGGATCTACGGATCCATAGTCAAAGTGGTTTGTTCGTCTGTCATTTTACAGTTTTTACTGGATTATTGTAATGTAGACAACATTGAAGAAGTCGCATTGACAAAATATGTGAAATCAAAGAAATTACATAATATCTGGGATGTAGATTGCTACTATTGTTTATGAATGAAGTAAATAATTATTCAAATATGACTTTTACGAAACAATGCTTTAGAAAACGAGTCTAATAATGACATCAACTTAAGAAATCAGTTATTCCTGTACTTGGGAAAGAATTAGTATGGACAATATATAACACTTTCAGAGCAAAAGATGTAACAGTATATCACAGACAATATATAACACTTTCAGAGCAAAAGATGTAACAGTATATCACAGACAATATATAACACTTTCAGAGCAAAAGATGTAACAGTATATCACAGACAATATATAACACTTTCAGAACAAAAGATGTAATAGTATATCACAGACAATATATAACACTTTCAGAGCAAAATATGTAACAGTATATCACAGACAATATATAACACTTTCAGAGCAAAAGATGTAACAGTATATCACAGACAATATATAACACTTTCAGAGCAAAAGATGTAACAGTATATCACAGACAATATATAACACTTTCAAAACAAAATATGTAACAGTATATCACAGACAATATATAACACTTTCAAAACAAAATATGTAACAGTATATCACAGACAATATATAACACTTTCAGAGCAAAAGATGTAACAATATATCACAGACAACATATAACACTTTCAGAGTAAAAGATGTAACAGTATATCACAAAAACAAAAACATTTCCGATTATTGCAATCATGTTGTTTTTCATTGATTTAACAAGAAATCCTCGTGAAAAGAATGTATACTAGCATTTGTACTTCGCATTTGAAGTTACAAGTTTTTTTTGTAAATTATGCTACAGTCGCATAAATAGTGTTTAGATACTTTGGTCACTTTTGTGAAATATTATACACATCAAATGCATATGGAACAAAGAAGTCAAAAGGTGCCAATAACTCAAAGAAACTAAACAATAACAACGACAAGTTGTAAATAGGCTGATGTACAAACACTCAAAATAAATTTCCAACAGCATGATAGAAAATTAGTTATTTCTTTTGACGTCATAAGGAGGAAAGAGCTGAAACACTAAACTAAAACTTCTATAGTTTGTATTATAAATATAAACAATACTCTAACACTTGTTAATAAGTATTATAAATATAAACAGTACTCTAACACTTGTTAATATGTATTATAAATATAAACACTACTCTAACACTTGTTAATAAGCATTATAACTACAAACAGTACTCTAACACTTGTTAATATGTATTATAAATATAAACACTACTCTAACACCTGCTAATACGTATTATAAGTATAAACACTACTCTAACACCTGTTAATATGTATTATAAGTATAAATACTACTCTAACACCTGCTAATATGTATTATAAGTATAAATACTACTCTAACACCTGCTAATACGTATTGTAAGCTTCACTACTCCACTAATGCTTGCTGTTGTGTATCATAAGATTAACTACTACGTTAATACTTGCTATATGATGAAATGTTATACTAACACGCTAACTGTATGTATTATAAGCCTGAGTATAAGATGAACCATTACACTAAATCATTCATTGTATGTATTATAAGCCTGAGTATAAGATGAACCGTTACACTAAATCATTCACTGTATGTATTATAAGCCTGAGTATAAGATGAACCATTACACTAAATCATTCACTGTATGTATTATAAGCCTGAGTATAAGATGAACCGTTACACTAAATCATTCACTGTATGTATTATAAGCCTGATTGTAAGATAAATCATAACACTAAACCATTCATTGTATGTATTATAAGCCTGAGTATAAGATGAACTATTACACTAAATCATTCACTGTATGTATTATAAGCCTGAGTATAAGATGAACCATTACACTTAATCATTCACTGTATGTATGTATTATAAGCCTGAGTATAAGATGAACCGTTACACTAAATCATTCACTGTATGTATTATAAGTCTGATTATAAGATGAACCATTACACTAAATCATTCACTGTATGTATTATAAGTCTGATTATAAGATGAACTATTACACTAAATCATTCACTGTATGTATTATAAGCCTGAGTATAAGATGAACCGTTACACTAAATCATTCACTGTATGTATTATAAGTCTGATTATAAGATGAACCATTACACTAAATCATTCACTGTATATATTATAAGCCTGACTATAAGATGAACTATTACACTAAATCATTCACAGTATGTATTATAAGCCTGAGTATAAGATGAACCATTACACTAAATCATTCACTGTGTGTATTATACGATGAACTACTACATTAATACTTGCTAAATTATAAGATGGACAATTACACTGATGCTTTGATTATATGTATTGTACGATGAAATACTATATTAATATTGCTAGATTATAAATTGAACGGTTACGTCAACACATTGATTATATTAATGTGAAGCTGAACTACATTAATACTTGCTGGATTATAGGATGAACAGTTACACTAAACACATTGATTGTATATATTATGAGCCACTACACTAAGAAACGTTAACATCTTTTGAACTGAGTTAATTTTTCATTGAAGACTGACTTTTCGACTTAAATATATATATATATGTTCCTAGAGTAAATAATAAATAAAAGTGATATAAGTCATGATATAACATTTACATTCACGTAAGTAGAAAATAAAAACAGTATTAATTTCTACCAGAAATAAACTGCACTATAATTTAAGGCCTAAACTAAGAGTTTATTTTCCTTTTATTCAATCATAATAGCCGAAGGTACCCGTTAAGGAAACAGAAAGTGTATAAAGGACAAGGTTAGATAATGTTCCCATTCTTTCTTTCTTTTTTGTTATTAAATTCCTAATGACCTCGTTAGATGCTAATTGCATTCTTGGCATTGTGGAAGGTTATAATTGATTCATTTAACTGGTAAGTTATTTGTGTCTTTAAATTCAAAGCTAAAAGTCTATAAAAAAATTTGAAATATACCCTATTTCTGGGTGTGTTTTTTTATCTCCTTCTCGGACAAAAGTCCTAAAACATAGCTCTTGTACACCGACGTAAAGTTTCCGGTTCCCATACAAAACATTACAGTAATCAACCTAGCAAACTGGGCGATATATATACACACATAGATATAATGGATCACCTTTCTAGTAAAATTTGTTATTTTTAGATGATATTACAATGTGATTATAAAGAAATCACTATATTACTTTTTTAAACCACTTGTGCTATAAAAGCTAAACTTAGACATGATTCAGGATGTTTCAAAGCCTGTCACAGAAGGGTTCAATACGTTTTCCGTTACTCTTGATCACTACGTTAAGCCTACGTATAAATGAAGCGTCATCTGTTCCGGACAGTATTCATTGATTCTAGCAATATTCTGCACAATGAGACGAATTTTGATGAAATCACCAAGCTCGTAACGTTGAAAAATCAATATTATTTTATGAGAAAAAGATGTAATTTTTTTGAAACACCCAGTGCCAAGCTCAAACGTTTCTGAATCAGACTCGTGTTTTTTAATGTGCCTCTGGTGTAACTGCGTTCTTCTAGAAGCTGTTTATAAAATATAATACTTTTCAATATGAGGTTTTCTTTATAAATATCATGTAGTCAATGTATTTGTTAAGTTATGCTAAATAAACCTATATTTTTATTGTGCTTACATGTAAATTTCCACGATATGTTTAATTTTATCACCTACGTTAAATTCTGAGTTTGAAGATTAAATTATATTTGTTTATTCAATTTTAATAAGGTCTGTTTTGAAAGCGTGATGTTTGGACTCACCTTTAAAATCTAACCTTTAACCATATTTAAACTCGTTTCAAACAGAATAACTTAATAAGTACATAAATATTTTCAAACTTACTTTGACACTGGTTTCCTTGTTTACCAAAGCCCCTGAAATTGCAAAAACAAATCCCAATTTTAAAATAATATCGTAATATTAAAAATGACATTCAACGTTCAGAAAAGAAAAATGTTTTTTAAACAATGTTTTACACAAAAGTCTGTTGTTAAAAGTTAATTATTGTGATGCTCTGCTTAAAAGTTTAGTTGAGACATATTAGACATTTTTTTTGTTTTTAATTATGCACAAAGCTACACAAGGGCTATCTGTGCTCTGCCCACCACGGGTATCGAAACCCGATTTCTAGCGTTGTAAGTCCGCAGGCCTTCCGGTTGGCCCCTGGGGGGGGGGGTATTTAGACAAT